GGAGGGAAAGACTATACGTTTGCAAGGCTCTGGTCTAAGAAGATTATGAGGGGCCCAAAGGTTCCTAACCATGAAATATAGGTGCCTAGCACCTAAACTTATATGAAAAAAGTAAGTTGTTCCAGTCGCCCAAAGGCAAAAGTTAGTTGCCCGTAGCACCCGGGCACTTCTACCGCACAGCCCTGGTTTTGCTAGCTTTTTAAGCTCATTCAGTCTTATTTTTTTCTTCCAGGCTAAATCAGAGGAAGAGGTCAACTCCCAGAAGGCATGGCTAGATGCAGAAAAAGTGTGGGTTGTTCACAAGGCAGGGTTTTCTGGTGGAAGGGTTCAAAAGACCAAGACTGTAAGAGAAGAAGATGAAACTCCTATGTGTAAAGTGAAACTGGATCATGGTGGCGAGATTATTACTATTGAAGAGGACAGTGTTGAAAAGGTCAGTCAATGGATTATTAGATTATTTAACAGTTTTGATTTAAATGAACCATCGTTTTGTCCAGTTTCTCTCCAGATTGTTGTCATATGATAATTTTTGGTCAGATGAAAAGGTCATCTATACAAATTTGTTATTAGTTTTTCAAACATTTACCATATTAGTAAGCCAGCTGGCTCTACTTGAAGCACCCATAGGGATGTGTTAACTGTTTGCCCTCTAAAAAATGGTCAATATATTAGATATCAGGCCCCAGTTGTTCAAAGGCTGGATAACGTTATCCACTGGATAAATCGCTATCCAGTGGATATGTGTTAACAGAACAAACCACACTATTTGCTGGATAGTGATGTATCCAGTGGAACTATCCACCTTTCCAATGACCCAGACCTGAATTTGCAATTTTTCTTTGGTTATATTTTCTTTTTCTTTTTTTGAAAATTCATGAGAAGAAAGAACTGTGTATCAACAAAAGCTTAAATAGGTAAGGTGGGAGAGGAAGTAAAGTTTCAAAATTGGGTTGGGTGTGTATTCTTTTCCTTGTCGGTGATGTGGGAATTTGTTCATGATAAAATTTACTACTGGTATTTTCAAAGCGAGGGCGGTTGGTGGTGAAATTTGCTAGTCTGCTGTCAATATATACATTAGGGCTATTCTTGGAATTATAACATTAGGATACTTCTGTTAATTTTGTTTTATTTTGAACTGAAGATAAACAAGTTACTTTGTGGGGAACTTTTTACTGAGCTTGTTGCACTCCTTTATTTTATTTTAGGCTAATCCTCCACAATATGACAGAGCAGAAGATCTTGCCTCCTTGCGCTACCTTAATGAATCCAGTTGCCTTCACACTTTGCGGCAGAGGTTTGGGAGTAACCTTATTCACACGTATGCTGGGCCCAACTTGATAGTCATCAACCCCCAGCAACAGTTAGCTATCTACACTGATAAAGTGAGTAATGAATAATGAATAATATATTGTAGTGAGTAATAAATGAAAATTGATTAATGAGTGATTTTCAGTAAATACCTAGAGATTTGGTTAATATTAAGATGCATAACTATAGTGCTCTTTTGGTATAGGTTAAGGGTGACTTTTGCCACTTGTGAGTAACCCTGCCTCCCATATATCTTATTGTTATACATTGAACTCACACTATCTCTTTCCTGATTGGCCGAAAGTGTACAGTGAATTTTAGAAATCAGTGCCTGTGACGTCATCTCTGCAGATTATACAGTAATCATGTCAAGTTTGCGTGCTTTGTGTTGCTTGCTGTCAGCGAAGAAGCGAAAACATGACTTCCATTTTTTTTGTTCAATGTATAATTGCCGTTTTTCATGTGACGTCATCAATTTCCAAAATAAGAAATTACCAATCCTTGTGAAGTTTTAGTTTCATCAGATGTAAGACCCTCTAATAACTTGACATTTTGCAACATTTAAGCCCGACAGGGTTCCTCATTATGTAATGGAGCACGTCGGAATTTCCAAGTTTATATGTTGCATGACATTAAAATGACGGCTCGGTAAGGCTGTTGAGTACATCAAAAGATGAGTTATTGCTCAAGATTTTACTAACTAAACAGTTCTTGCTCTAGACAAAGTATTAATTTCAATGTATCTGAGCTCTAGAGTAATAACGTTTCGTTTCATTGGCAAAACTCAATGACAGATGTTTCTGTTACTTTATGGCCACCATGTTTGTGTCCCTCTGAGGGGCACAAACATGGCGACACCATACAAAGCTCTATAAATTTGAGCAAAACACTTTTCCGAATAACTCGCGGATGGAAAACCGTACAGACTTAAAACTTCGCTAGGTAATTTATATATCAATCATCTTTCATATCTCAGCTTCTTGACTTAATCTATCGAATGCTTACGATTTTTATTTTTGATGGTGTGACACTGCAAACCAGCCATAAAACTATTATTAGATTCGGTTTTTGTGATATCCTGAATAATCAAGGTCTCGGCAAGGGTTATCAGCAGAAGCCAAAGGCTGAGGCTGATAACCCCTACCTCAACCTTGATTATTCTGGATATCAGAAAAACCGAATCTAATAATTGTTTATTGTCAGCACCGAATTATCCCTGAGGGTTCTCTGCTCAAAGTTCTATACAAAATGTTACTGAAAACAGAAACCCCAGATGCAGGTGTTAGAAGTAAATAATGCTGTCTTGATATCGCTTGCTAGATTGTATGCCTAGAAGTATGGCAGAAGTCTGTCATGTTTGAACCTACTTATTATGGTTTAGCTCCCACAAGTGCCCTATAGCTGATCTAGGGAGGCAGAGCGGGCTGTGTGCTCCTCTTTTCTTCGATTCTCTTTTACATGTAAATTGTAACCAACTGTTGTAGAGTGTGAGATGTGTTGTGGATATCAGATTAGGTTATATTCTCCTCCCTGGTAGCTCAGTGGTAGAGTGTCCTGCTGGAATGTGGAAGGTCATAGGTGCAATTCCTGTTGGGAGAACGTGAACATTTCCTCCCAATAGTGACCAATATAATTCTCATTTCTCTACCAAACTTAACATTTACTATTTTTTCTTTTCACAGGTAATTCAGATGTTCCGTGGCTGTAAACAGGAAGACATGCCACCCCATATCTTTGCCGCTGCACAATCAGCCTATAGGAACATGCTGGCGACAAGGATGGATCAGTCAGTTGTGCTGATGGGTCACAGCGGATCAGGAAAAACCATCAATTCCAGACACATCATGCATTATTTAGTAGCTGCAGCCAGTTCACAGCATTCTGCACTCACAGGTGGGCAATTCTCCCATCTCACTCCTATTAGAACTCTGGCTGGCATAGCAAGAAAAAAGTTGGAAAATTCACCTGTCCTACAGACAACCATGGGAAAAATGCTTTGGGTCATTTCCATTTAGAGATTAAAATATGTGACTCTTATCTTTACTTGTCCTGATGGAATTCAAATGTATACATTTGGAGGTAGTGGTGACCAAAATCGTTTGTGTATTTTCGAAAGTAATAGCAGACTGGTTTTGGAAACTGTAATGACCTCAAGCTTTGCCCTGGTGGAAAATTTGGCAACCCTCACCAAAGATGTAGTCACCAAATGTAATTATAAATTATTTTGTTTATTTAGTTACCACAATCACTGACTACTTGTTGCTGATTAAATTTATCTCACTTTGTGACTACATCTTATCTCAAAATAGCATGCTACAGTACCACAGATTCCAGCTGTGTGTTGTGATTTTCGCTGGTAAAATATTTTGTGATATCAACCATAAAGATATTGCCCCTTTGATGCATTCACATGCTGACTGCTTTCTTTTCCAGATCAAAAGCTTGAAGCTATTTATGCTTTGTTGGAAGCCTTTGGCAATGTCTCCACTCCCATGAATCACAATGGATCAAGGTTCACTCTGCTATTTAGCATGGATTTTGACTCTGCAGGTCTTCTGACAAGTGCTTCAGTCCAGGTCAGTCATAGCATGAAATGTTGATTTAGCTGAAGTAACGAAACTTGTTATTTTTGTATATAACAAGGAGCCAAGAAAAATAATGAAATTTGAAAAGGAATTAAAGGAACTAATCAGTTGTATAATGTTATTTGTTTCAGACATTCCTCTTGGAAAAGTCCAAAGTTGTCAGGCAATCTGAAGGGGAGAGTACATTTAAGATATTCCACTATTTGTTGGGAGGATGTGAACCTAAGATGAGGTAAATATTACTAACAAAACCTTATTATACGTACATTCAGAGTAACAGGCAAATTCAAGTCAGCTCCAATAAACCACAGGATTGGGGAAGGGGTTGAGTCATCCGCACTAGTGCCAGGGGGCAAAGAAAACCAATTTTTTGGGTTCAGCCTTGCTACCTGGAAATGTCATCTCTTGCAGTACTACCGTAATTTTCATTCCCTAAAACATTTTCCCAAGGAAATTTCACTTACCATAAATCCTTGAATTAGCTTCCCACCCTCCTCGAGTAAGCGCCCCTTTTGAATAAGCGCCCCTCCTATCACCTGAAATTTAAAATGCGCACCTCCTCCCCTCCCCTTCCCCCCCATTTTGTGGACGAATAATGAGACAACAAAGGATGTATAGTTTTCGTCATGTATTATTAAATTCGTACATTGTTTCAGTTTGTGAACATGTTCAGTGAACATGTTGACCACGTTAAGTACTAAGGGTGCCGCGATTAAACTTTAGGATAAGCTTTTTATGTCAATAAACAGCTTATGTTAGTGTTTACACGCAGATGATGTATTAAAAAAATGATCATGTCGGGCCATGATTTGGAAAAAATTAAATAAGCGCCCCCCCTTGAATAAGCGCCCCCTCTAATAAGCTCCCCTGTCTTCTCCTAAATTTGAAATAAGTGCCCCGGGTGCTAATTCGAGGATTTATGTTAACCGTTGGGTAAGCGAAAGACAGGATGCTCTAGGCTGACTGCAAAATCCACAGCCCCCAGCTATCAAACATGATTTTCTTTGCACGTCACGTGTTATCTTGAGTTTTCGAAGCATGCATGTTTTGCTTCAGGAATTGCTGAGATGTCAGTCCATTGCAGGATATCCTGGTCATTTTTGTCAGGTTCCCCTCCAAATTTCACTGGTAACCATTTGTACCTCAAAGTGCATATGCTGCATTGCTCCAGTTACCGGCAATATTTTCACCACTTTGAATGCAAACATGTTACAGCTGACACAACCAACTCTTGTTTAAACGACCACTGTCTTGACCTAACCAAAGGTTCACTTGGTCGTTTTATATTAGAACATCCTAGTTGGGTTTGATTGCAGTGAAGGCCACCATAGGTTTCCACTTGACAAAGTTTTTGATAAATTTTAGACAATTTACTATGTTACTATCAAATGGAAGGTTTTTGTTTCAAAAGGCAAATGAGCATACAAGAATTCTGGAAGGCAGAGTTGTCATTGTCTAGCGCCACATTTATGTTCTGGCAATTGACATCTCTTCCACCCACATTTTTTGCAATTTGATTGCCGAAGTTGGCCAAAAGTGATCAGAAAGTTTTCAAAAGCTGCCAGAAAGTTGTCAAATTTTATCAAAAACTTTATCAAGTGGCAACCACCTGGTGATGTTCACTGTAATGGGTTTCCACAATACACAAAAATAAGGAATGTGAAATATTTTTATTATTATTTGACAACATTTCTGATCTTGGGTTTGTTTCGAACAGAAAAGAGTTGCAGTTGGAGGCCAAAATGAGTGAGACCAATGAGTTTATGATGGGATTTGACCCCAAGGTACAGTTTACAAGCTGTTTAAGTTGATTTCTAACTATTCGCATTTGATTATGTTTTTGCCCTACGCCCTAGGTAAAAACATTGAAACTTGCATATGACCTTTTACATGTACAAATGTTGTTGGTTTTTCTCTTTTTGTCAAGTGTTTGGCTTCAGGTTCTCCTGTTTTCTTTCCTCTGCAAATGCAACCTAACTTTCATGTACAAGGTGTACTGTTGAAGTTAAAGTCTCTCTGTATTTCAACAGTCACCAGATAACCAGGTTCTTTCTGATAAGTGGACAGAGATAGAGTTTGCTCTCCAAATGCTGGGAATCTCTGAAGAGGAGGCTAAAGGAATCTGGGTAATCTTGGCTGCCATTTGTCATCTGGGCTGTGCTGGGGTGGCTGTAGGTAAATAATTATACAATTTATTTGACCTTCTGAAGTTACAACTGGAGTTTCAGATATGTACTGCTTAGCAATCAAAGTAGCAACTTGTCGAATGATGTCTTGCACATGGTCCATGTATAATTTTATTACACAGTGAAATGTTTCATTTAATTTGTCACTGCTGTCAGACATGGTTCATGGATTGTGGCATGTAACTGGGTGGTCTTAGCATGAGCAGCTTGCCAAACTAAGAACTCTGCCATCACTATGCAACTGGACATAAGGAGATAATTCCAATATTATAACAAACAACATGACAAAATGTTGTCTTCAATTAGGCTGTGTACACACTTGGTGCCTGAACACTGATGCCTGGGCACTGGCACAAAATACAATGTAGTGTTACGTTCAGACACTGGGTACTCCAAAGACCCTAGTACCATTTAATGCCCAAGCACAAAGGCAAGACCTTGTACCCCGGCATGGGCACTGTGTGAGTACTTGGAAAAAAGGTGTGTGCCGATTAGTGCCCAGCGAGGATAATTTGTGCTCTGGCACTGTGCTTGGGCACCAAGTGTAAAGATAGCCTTTGAGTTAAATTCTTTCAAGCTAGCAAACATCACTTCTAGGCTAGTAGGTCTTGCTATCCACTTGCCAAGTGTCAGCCTTGCATTGCACCCTGTGGCTTTCCAAGATTCTCTTATCGTACTGTAATTGAGTAGTTATCCACTGCACGACCCTTCAGTAAAACAGCACTGTTATGAACAGGGTTTTAGCTAACCATTATTTGTTCAAAGGTGCAGACAACAAGCCTCATTTTGCCAACCCAGCAGCAGTCCAGAGAGCTGCGGCAGTCCTCGGCACCACCCAGGAGGACATCTCTGAGATCATCTTTGCACCTCCAGTTGTCAATCAGTTTACCATAAGGATGCGCCGCCAGAGTCAGTCTAAAACTGAACTGACTCCCTCCAGTTCTGCAGAGAACACCCCAGAGAAGCAAGCCAAAGCTACTACAGTGCAGTACATTGAGGCATTGGAGGGATTTGCCATGGGGCTGTACCAGGAAGCTTTTGCTGCTCTGGTTAGGTTCATTAACAGGTAAGGGTTCTGAAATAAAATGTAATTTTGTTGTGTACTCTGTTGAGATGCAAAATGGCTCACAAGTTGGTAAAGACCTCTTGTTACAAAATTTGAACAACTGCTGTTATCCGCAAGGGATACAAATTTATAATTCCACTTGAAATTAGATGGCAAAATTATCTTCTAGACAACAATATGTCTGGTAGACCTGTCTTCAAAGAAATGTTGAATTAATGATTAGTCTTTCTTATGTTTTAAATAAAATGGAAAAAATGTAGCCATATCTCCCAAAACCATAAAAACAACATATATGTATATATATAACTGACCTGTTAGTCTTGAGTTTTCTTGTTTTTCATCTTGAAAGAAAAAGAACAGAAAGAATGTCCCTCTCACTACAGATTACAATAAATTAATCTGAAGTACTTGTTGAATCAGCTACATGCACAAGCAATAATACTTTACTTTAACTAATATTATTGCAATCAGTTTAAGATTTTTAGTTTATTTACATGTAGAGTACCATCTTCCTAGAGGGTTATTTTTACACGATATTGACTTAAAAGTTATTCTTGTCTTGTAGGTCTCTTCAGTGTAATGTAAGAACTGTCTCATCAATGCACGTGTTGGACCCTCCAGGCTTCCAAAATCCTGCATCGGTTGGCAAGTCTGAGGGAGCACTGTTTGACGACCTATGCCACAATTATGAGTATGAGAGACTGCAAAAGTTCTTCCATGACACAGTGTTCACTGCACAAATGGAAAGATACTCTCAGGTACAAATAATTGGCTTGTGCAGTTTGTAGAAGTTTGTTAGTGTTCTCAGTGAGTTGACCTGTAACCCATGTAACCTGTAACCCATGGAATTTTAACGGCGTTCCTAGTAAGTATGCTTTAAAGGAGCTCAGTCACGGTGTTTTAAGTTATTTTGGTTACGTACAAAATTACCTTTAAATTGAAGGAAACCACAAAATAATAGCCTATTAAGATAGAAAAACACCAAAGAGATAATAATAAACCATAAAGGAACAGGGATGGCTAAGGATGGAGAAGATTAACACGGATTACAAACGACGAACTTGAAAAATTTAGGCTAGAATTTTCAAGATGCGCAAACCGTCTCACAGCTCCTTAAAGTTTGCTAAGGGAAAGTAAAGAAAGGCTATCGTCTAAGTGCAATCTTGTTACGTCTGTATACAATGTATTTAAACCTTGATTTATCATAATTTCCTATTCCAACGTAATTTTGTGGAGAACAATGTAGGCCTGATATCGTTCCCTCAAGTTGCCTTTTTGACTTAGACTTAATCATTAGTAGACCCCATCTTGAATATGCGAGCAGTTTGTGGGATCCGCATACGCAAAAGCAAATCGTTGACATCGAAGGTGTGCAACGACGAACCGCTCGTTTTGTTAGACGTTGTTATAATCGAACACCAGGGTCTGTGACCCATCCCCTGAACGAGCCACTGTCGCTCTCATTGGAACAGTGTCGAAAGGGAGCCAGACTCACCTTGATGTATAAAGCTGTCAATGGGAAGATAGCCCTCCAGANATGCACGTGTTGGACCCTCCAGGCTTCCAAAATCCTGCATCGGTTGGCAAGTCTGAGGGAGCACTGTTTGACGACCTATGCCACAATTATGAGTATGAGAGACTGCAAAAGTTCTTCCATGACACAGTGTTCACTGCACAAATGGAAAGATACTCTCAGGTACAAATAATTGGCTTGTGCAGTTTGTAGAAGTTTGTTAGTGTTCTCAGTGAGTTGACCTGTAACCCATGTAACCTGTAACCCATGGAATTTTAACGGCGTTCCTAGTAAGTATGCTTTAAAGGAGCTCAGTCACGGTGTTTTAAGTTATTTTGGTTACGTACAAAATTACCTTTAAATTGAAGGAAACCACAAAATAATAGCCTATTAAGATAGAAAAACACCAAAGAGATAATAATAAACCACAAAGGAACAGGGATGGCTAAGGATGGAGAAGATTAACACGGATTACAAACGACGAACTTGAAAAATTTAGGCTAGAATTTTCAAGATGCGCAAACCGTCTCACAGCTCCTTAAAGTTTGCTAAGGGAAAGTAAAGAAAGGCTATCGTCTAAGTGCAATCTTGTTACGTCTGTATACAATGTATTTAAACCTTGATTTATCATAATTTCCTATTCCAACGTAATTTTGTGGAGAACAATGTAGGCCTGATATCGTTCCCTCAAGTTGCCTTTTTGACTTAGACTTAATCATTAGTAGACCCCATCTTGAATATGCGAGCAGTTTGTGGGATCCGCATACGCAAAAGCAAATCGTTGACATCGAAGGTGTGCAACGACGAACCGCTCGTTTTGTTAGACGTTGTTATAATCGAACACCAGGGTCTGTGACCCATCCCCTGAACGAGCCACTGTCGCTCTCATTGGAACAGTGTCGAAAGGGAGCCAGACTCACCTTGATGTATAAAGCTGTCAATGGGAAGATAGCCCTCCAGATTCCTGACTATGTTAAACCCAAGCAGAGAATAACTAGACAGTACAACCCCATGAAATTCACACAGTTAACCCCTACGAGCAACACTCACAAATTCGGTTTTTATGCAAGAACTATACCCGAGTGGAGCTCACTTGCTGCTGAAGTGATAGACCAACTGTGTGTTGAGGCGTTTAGGGCCAGTCTCATCACTTTTTAATCTCAGTAGTGATTTCGTTACATTTATGTCTTCTTGTTTTTCTCTTTTACATCTGCGGTGATGAGTAAACCCCTTTGCAGATTGCATAGTAGATGTACCTGTAGAATTCATTCATCTTCATTGTCCCGTTTGGAATCTAAGGCTATATCTATTGGACGTAAATATGATCGGTGATCGCTGATAGCAAATTTGTTTGATTTTCACAGGAGAACATAGAGTGCAGTTTTGAAAATGTGGCAGCCTCTCCTGATCCTGTCGTGTCCGTGTTCGATAGAGCTGCTCAGGGTGTGGTATGTTAATCAGATGCAGTACTGTGTCTACATGTATCGCCATTCAAAGCGTCTCATGTTCTGTTGTTATCCTGTCGCCAACAATTTACTGAGTCTTGGCATTCGAATCAAAAGAGTAATCATTCCCAATTTTGCCCATCCATGCCCCTTTTTGGTTTTTCTGTGTTTCTTTTGCGTTTCTCTGCAGTTTAATTCTAAGACCAGTTGGCTAGTGCTAAAATTGCTAAAAAATGCGTGACCCAGCGACTTGGAGCATTTGAACTCCCCTCTAGACAAGATGCTAGTCCATCGCAGTGTTACCCCCAGCATTAAATTCGCCAGTACCCATTTATACACCTGGGTAGAGAAGGGTACCGTGGGAGTAAAGTGTTTTGCCCAAGAA